ACCGGCAGCAGCTAACGGAGGGGCAGCAGCAGCCCCACCGTGAACAGCAGCAGCAGCAGCAGCAGCAGCAACAGCAGCAGCAGCAGCAGCAGCACAGCGATGCCGCACAGATGTATCTTCAGGGCAGTGCAGCAGCAATGAGCTGCAGCAGCAGCGGCGCAGCAGCAGCAAACTGGGGGCCTGTCTACCTCCCTCTTCCTCTACCCTGCAGCAGCAGCGGCAGCAGCAGCAGCAACAGCAGCAGCAGCAGCAGCAGCAACAGCGGCGGTAACGGCGGCTGCGTCTGCGGAATGCCGGGGTGTACAGGCTGCTGCAGTGCCTACAGCAGCAGCAGCAGCAACAGCAACAGCAACTGCTACAGCAGCTACAGCAGCAGCTGCAGCAGCAACTGTTGCAGCAGCAGCAGCTGCAGCAGCAGCAGCTGCAGCAGCAGCAGCAGCTGCTGCTGGGTTGATGATGAGATGGGCTCTGTTCAGGAGACAGTAAGTGTGTGCGAAGGCAACAGCAGCAGCCGCAGCACCAGCAGCAACAGCAGCACCAGCAGCAGCAGCAGCAACAGCAGCAGCAGCAGCAACAGCAGCAGCAGCTCCTTTGAGGGGCATTTCTGCTTCTCCTTCGATGCTGCAGCAGCAGCAGCAGCAGCAGCAGCAGCAGCAAACGATACAGTGCCGTCTGCCCCTGTCTCTGCTGCTGCTGCACCTGTGAGGGGACGCAAGAAGAAACAGCTTGCTGCTGCTGCTGCTGCTGCTCCTGCAGCAGCAGCAGCAGCAGCAGCAGCAGGCAGCAGGGGGGCTGTTGCAGCGCGCACCTAAGTGCCTCTTGCTGCAGCAGCAGCAGCAGCAACTTGGCTGTGCTGCTGCTGCTGCAGCTCTTGCTGCTGCTGCTGCAGGTGTAGCAGCAGCAGCTGTTGCAGCAGCAGCAACTGCTGCTGGTGTTGCTGCAGCAGCAGCAGCAGCAGCTGCTGCTGCTGCTGCTGCAGCAGGATGCTGTGTTGAGTTTGTTTGGCCTTGTGGCTGTACCCTTTATATATACAGTACTGAACTCTCTGTTATTTATTTTTATTTATTTTTATTTATTTTTTTATTTTTTATTTTTTTATTTTATTTTTTTTTTGCATTTGTTTTTATTTATTTATTTCATATTTATTCTTATCCTTCTCTGTCTCTCTTCTTTCTGTCTGTCTCTCTCTCTTTCTTTTTGTCTCTCCTTGCTGCTGCTGCTGCGGCTGCTGCTGCTGGTGTGTTAATCTATATATTGCTGCTGCTGCTCTTGCTGCAGCTGCTGTTGCTGCTGTTGCTGCTGTTGCTGCTGTTGCTGCTGTTGCTGCTGTTGCTGTTGCTGCTGCTGCTGCTGCTGCTGCTGCTGCTGCTGCTTTGACTTCCGCTGTCAGGGGTGTTGCAGCTCATATAGGGGCTGTACATATGCTGCACTTGCTGCTGCTGTTGCTGCTACTTAGCTGCTGCTGCTGCTGCTGCTGCTGTTGCTGCTGCTGCTGCTGCTGCTGCTGCTGCAGTATAAGGCCTCTATGCTGCATGCGCTTAGACAACAGACAATGTTAATTAAAAAATTAAAAACTCGCAGCAGCAGTTGATATATATGGGTGCAGAAATAAAAAAAATAAATAAAAAACAAAACAAAAAAAACAACAAAACGAACGACTGCTGCGGTGCTGCTGCAGTATATATTTGTTAGATAACATTTACTTATTTGTATTTATTTAATTAAATTAAATTAATTTAATTAATATATTTAATTATATTTATTAAAAAATATTTATTTAAATATATTTATTAGTTTAATGTTCTCTGCTTCGAGGTGTTTGCTGCTGCTGTCGCGGCGCAGCGGCGTGCATGCGGTTGCGGTGTATAGGCAGCTAAATAAGCAACAGAAGAGAAAAAATGAAATAAAAAAGTAAAATTATAATTATTTATAAATTAATTTATAATTTATTTATTATTTTAATCGAAAAAAACAA